AATATATAAGATCGTATTTAAGTAAGAATTCATCATATGAAGCTCAGTTGATATAACTTGTGAATTTTGATTTGAGATCAATTAATCCTTTTATGTTATTGTATCTTAATCATCCATGATGAATTCTTGTGATGACGTTATAATCTTATGACATGGTATAATTGCACGTTAAGTTTTGAAACTATAACAAACGTTTAATTTATGCACGCAGCACGGTCAATTGAAAACGTGCAATGCACGAGATAGTTAGTAAATGTTTGTTTTAACGTCAGACGACAAAATAAGAAGTATATTTCTTGCCACAAAATTTATATACGCGCACTCCAAGTATATATACAGCTCAGTGCCATAAAGAAAAGTAAAAATCAATGGAAAAGATACCATTTAAAGAGGTACATAAATTGCTCAATAAATTTCATAAAACCAATAACATATTTTAAGATATATATTTCCTTAATTTTTTTGTTATATATGAAAATCTAAATAAATGAAAAAATATCCATTCCAACCAGTCAAGATATAGAAATTCGTAATCATGGAAAAGATTATACATTATTTTATTCACACATGTGTTGAATTCCATCGGACAGAACACGATTTGCCAAACCCAAAACACCCAGAACCAGAAGGACAACAACTCCCGTCAAAACAACAAATTCCATTCAACCAAGGACAACAACGGTAATTTTCAAAATCGATCTCAAAACTATGAACTGGACAACACTTTGTACCATCCGGACACCATTGTGGCACTCCATGAATTTTTCCACAAATTACACGATTTACATTCTAGAAGAAATTTGATTAATTATTTGAGTACATTATTTAAGTCATTTTTGATATAATGACATTTCTTACATTTATAAATATTTCTATTTAGAACTAAGAATACTCAAAAAGAACATTTTTACTCTTATTGATATTTCAATAATGAAAAACTGTGTGTTCGATACTAAAGTCTTCTTTTTTTCCAAATGTTTTGAGCACATTATTTAAGTCGTTTTACAATTATTATGCGTGGCATATTTTACATTTAAAAATAATACACTTTGAGATATTCTCAACTGTGATTGGTAGATTGCTGTGCGTTTTTTGGTAATTACCAATTTACCATATGAAAATGTATAATTGAACTGTAAAGCTTTGAAAACATTCTTTAAAGAGAGGATTTAAAAATATCTCTCGTATGCATGTTTATGTGAACTTGTTCTAGAAATTACACCATTGCCTTTACTAATGATTTCTATTTCAAACTGAAAAATATTTTAGCTGTCTATATTTTTTCTTCTATTAACATTGTGATAATTAAAACTTGTTTGTTTGACATTAAAACTTATCTTTTCTTAAAATGTGTGTCCGAGAACATGGTTTAAAGGTTTGATTCCAACTTACAAGCTCTATATTAGTAACAAATATAACAATTTTCAAAATAACTAGTTACATTGGAGGCGTACGGAGGCTTCAATCTCTGGCTAGAGGTGTGTTGTACTTACCCAAAATGTTACGTATTTAAGTAGTATTTTATGTCGAAATTTAAAGTCTAACGACAATTGGTCAAGTAAAGTTACATTCTTTCAAGTCCGTGGCTAAGGATATTAAAGTGGTTTGTTTTTTAGCTGCAAACACCAAAGACACAAGATTGAGAAAATCCAAGGAGTCTGGGGTTGAACCCTGGGGCAACTTTAATCTCCTGAAAATCGTCATTCACTGTATTTTGAGTACACTTTTTAATAAAACAAGAAATAAAAGTAAAAAAAGTGAAAATGATCGATAGAAGGCTTTTTGTACAAAGTGAAAATAACACGAAAACACCTTTTCAAATGTCTTTAATTTACCTGCCCTAAAAGCACCTACTTATCAACCTTAGAGGGAGTGACACCCACCCCAAAGTCCCCAGCAATAGTCCCATGATCGATAAACCTTTGACCTTATACTTTATTACACTGATTGGTTAACGTCTTGATTTAGCATCTCTATTTCTGAATGACATGTTGTTTGTAGTAGAATATCAAACGTTCGGGCTCATCATTGTAAGAAAGTCATTGTTGAAAAGAACAACTTTTGTCTATAACGCTTTAGCGGAAACATTATTAGTAAATATCACAACTTTTACCGTTTTGAACCGCCTGGGAATACAAAGGTTTATCAGAACCCAAACGTTTGTCTACTTTTCATTAAATTTCTTATGACTTGTTTATGATTATATGACAGAAAAAAAGACGTAGCAAGTAAAATATAAAGGTTTAGCTCTCTGACGCTGATTATCAAAATGCGTTTACTTTTTATTATAAGTTGTGTTTGTGTTAGGAAACCAGAATTATTAAGCCAGTGGAGTGAAGTCAGTGCAACAAAACCAAAAAGCAGAACATCAAATTCTTAAATAATTTTTGTGATCGACTGAGAAAATTTCTCTTGCTCTATAGAATAATTTTGATTGCTTTCATGTGACTCACGTTGGTTAATTCATGGTTATGGACTTTGCCCCACTCCTTATTATTAAATGTTTATATTTGATAAATATTAAGACGACCAACCTCTTTGTACGTATTTTCCAATAATGATTTCGTCGGTCTTTCCTTCATTTGCTTGTATCTCTCCATTTTGACCAAATCAATAAAAACCAGTAAACACAACAGTATGTAAGCTCTTTTCATAGCTAAAACAAAATGATCAAATGTATTTCTTTTTTTACATATTACATTTTGTAGCAATAATGTTGAAATTACCTTTTCTTGTACTTCTTTTTTGTAACAAGTAAAAATGCAACAAAATAAATTAGCAATAATTCTGTTTTCTTCTTATATCGATCTACTTTGAGGCTGTGGTGACGTGTGCAATGAAGTGTTTATTGTGAGATCGTATTTAAGTAAGAATTGATCCCACGAAAATCAAACGATATTCATGTGAATTTTGGTTTGAGATCAATTAATATTTTTATGTTGTTGTATCTTAGTCATCCATGATGATTTCTTGTGATGATGTTATAATCTCATGATATTGTATGATTACATGACTGGAACAATGTCATATGGTAAAGTAAAACTAGCCCTTGTCCTTTTCTGTAGCTAATGCGATAATACCTGCAAATTTAGGAGTTTGGAAGTGTAAGAACAACCTTAGTTAAAGACATTAGTAAAAAGTCTTTTGGTTATTCAATAAATAAAGCACTTGGAAAAATACATATAAAATTTTGTAAATAGATTTACCACACCGTGTACATGCGACAGATGTCAATTTTGTAAATAGGTTTACCACACCGTGTACATGCGACAGATGTCAATTTTTTATATAGGTTTACCACACCGTGTACATGCGACAGATGTCAATTTTTATATAGGTTTACACACCGTGTACATGCGACAGATGTCAATTTTGTAAATAGGTTTACCACACCGTGTACATGCGACAGATGTCAATTTTGTAAATAGGTTTACCACAGTGTACATGCGACAGATGTCAATTTGTAAATAGGTTTACCACACTGTGTACATCGACAGAAACGTTTGTCTTTTCACATTATTGTTAATGAATAAAGATATAAAGATGTTTTCGTGTTTGCACTGCCTTATGCAAACCTTGGAGAGGTTTGTGAGAACCTCGAACACGTGCAACCCTCGACCTTTGGTCTCGGGCTTGCACTGATCATCTCTTATGTTCTCCCAAAGGTCTCCTCGGTTTGCATAATCCTGTGCAAACACAGTAAACATCTTTTATTTCTTAATTGAAACATTGAAACGTTTTTTAACAACGTGCAATGCACGAGATAGTTTGTAAATGTTTGTTTTGACGTCAAACTCAAACTAAGATTTTAGGGATAATAATGTAGCACAGTTCTCATGCTTTGGATCAAAATTTTTAAAAAGAATTACATAATATATAATATAAATATATTTATTTTTCAAGTGTTTTTATCAGAAATCACCCGTAACTTATTAACTAAATGTATGGAATTAAAGTGCTTTTACATGCTTAAACTGCCAAATTTGTCGGTGTTAAAAATAACCAGAAATTTTCTATTATAGCTGTGTGCCGTCGTTTTTTTATATATTCACGCTTCCATGAGCGAAACTAGAACGTTTATTTGGGGGGGGGTATATATTCATATGTTCACCTCTGCCCTGCTGATTTCTTTTGTTTGCGATGTTAATTTCAACAGAAGTCAGCAGGGCAGAGCTGAATATATGAATATTTACCCCCCCTCCCCCAATTACGTTCTAGTTTTGCTCCTGACGCTATGAGTATGTTATTTGAGAACTTAAATGTCATTGTTAAGAAATTTTCGTAAAAACAAGAAAATTGATTTTATTTTTATGCCTTACTACAATACAACATATCTACATGCACTTTATCATTTAAATAAAGCAAACATGTTGGAACATTTAGACAAAAAATACATTTAATTGAGTAATTGTATATCATTTATGATTAAGTTGAAAACTGCAAAAACCATTCATTTTATTGTGAATTTGCATTCTGAAATGAATGACTTAAGTATAAAACCTACGATGTTCACTTTTGATTTTATTCTAATATCTTGTGTTATATTTACATACTACGAGGCTGTTGCTTAAAGCAAGATCAATCAATGGCTTAGTCATCCTACTAGTTATGGTATTGCATAATGTATTGTGAATTTCAGACGATTTTCTTGTTTAAAAATCACTTCTTTTAACACTCGCAGCGAGTGCACATAGAAAACGGACAAACCATGAGTCTGATTCTGATGGCCAGAATGAGTTGGGTTGTCAATTCTCAATTCTCATCGTCAAAATGTTGTCAAAATAAAGACGACCACAACATTAGTTATTCAGAATTTTAAAGTTTTGGTTTTCTCGACCCAATCCTCCACCATTCACAATTGCTCCGCATACTTCCTTATAGTCACGTGATTAAATGGAATGAAACATGGAAAGATGGCGGAATTCCAGTGGAATAGTAATTCATAGAGATGCCTTAGTAAGGTTTTATTTTCATTCCTTTTGAACTTTTAAATCATTCAGTCATGCAGAAGAACGTGAAAACAAAGAACGTGTTCCTATCTGGTGCTTTACAAAGAATTCTACTCGATAAAGAAACAAAAAAGTCTCATCATTCACAACTAAAGAAAGCTTGCGAAACGGCTTTAGGTATAAATCCATAAGTAATGATTGTAGCTATTGCTGATATATTTAGATTCTATTTGCTCTATGTTTTTATGCATTTTCAACCAGTTTCTGCATTTGCTATCAACAAAACATTAAGTGTAGTAATCCCTCATTCAGGATGTCAACGAACGCTGTCGATAGTATCTTTAAAATTGCTCAATGTATGATTTGTACTTTTTTATACGTGGCAAACAGTTATTTTTTAGTGTCAATCGCTTGTTCATGTCCTTCTGCTTGAGTTATATGTATATATGTTTATGGAGAAATCTATGTCAACGTGTGCAATGAATATAATGTACTGCTGTGTTCAGGAATGTTGCTTTACAAAATGATCGCTTTATGATTTTGATCTATTCTAGAGGAAATAAACGCTGTTCAAGGAAATGAAAAATCTACAGGGTAAGTTTGATTATGTAAAGTTGTCCAATTTTCTTTCCAATTTTCCAATTTTAACATGACCAAAATGAGTTACTGACCTTGAATCTTATTTATTTCACAGTTGTATCCAGACTACGCATGCGCACAAATTTGCTAAGCTGTATTTTTCAAAAGTTAGATTTATAAACAAGAATGTTGGTTTGATTTATTTATGATAAAATCTTCAGGAATGTTTCTTCTGCAACTCTACCTCCACTACCTGGTCAGCAAACATTCATTACAGCAGATCAATATTTTCTTCCTTTTGAGTTGGCTTGTCAAACAAAATGTGCCAGGATTGTCACCATTGCACTTGACTGTATACAAGTAAGTTGTTTTTGTTTGATGTGTTAGGACACTTGGAGTCTTTAGTTGTAAGAAATAGATTTAATATTGTAAACTCTTTCATTGCATTGTTATTAAGTTATTACAATTTGATAGCACAAAATAAGTTCCTGCAGTATTTTCTTTTGTTAGTTACCTCCTAAATTTCTCTAGAAATTGTCAATATTGCTATCCTTATGTATCAACAGTACTCATTCCCAAGCCTCACAACTTCACATGTGTCTTTTCACCACCATTTTGCATTCCTTCGCAAATCTAGGTCTTGTATTTTGCTTCTATAAATTGGAGTATTTCAAACATTCTTTGTTCTTAGAAACTCATTGCTTATGGTCATATCGTTGGCGATACACCAGACTCCATTGAACCAGAGAGGCGTTTAATTGACAGAATTATCGAGACTATTTGTACTTGCTTTACCGGTATAAATACTGATGTAAATGTTCAAATACAAATTATAAAGGTATTTATAAAAAGTAATGTCAAACTGTTAAAGTATTTAATGAGAGAAATGATATATCCTTGAGGAATTTAAAGAGGGCAATGACATATGTATCCCCATGTTTTTTACATTTTTTGTGCCATGAGTTTTTTAAATATCACATTGAATAATTGAATTCCAACAAGATTAAAAAAGGCTATGTGTTAACTGTGGACAGTTGAAAATGATCTGATTTATATAATGTGTATATTTTTATTATCTATATTTACAGGCTCTTCTAACAGCTGTTACATCAAGTACTTGTGAAGTTCATGAAGGAACTTTACTTCAAGCAGTTAGAACAGTTTACAACATTTACCTTGCCAGTAAAAATCTTGTTAGTCAAACAACAGCAAAGGCAACACTGACGCAAATGATAAGTCTTGTGTTTCAGAGAATGGAAAGTCAAGCTGTAAGTTTTGTTCTGATGAACAAAATATTTTTGTATCATATTGTACATCAATAAACATGTCAATGTTGATAATATTGTATCATATTGTACATCAATAGAGATGTCAATGTTGATAATATTGTATCATATTGTACATCAATAGACATGTCAATGTTGATAATATTGTATCATATTGTACATCAATAGACATGTCAATGTTGATAATATTGTATCATATTGTACATCAATAGACATGTCAATGTTGATAATATTTTATCATATTGTACATCAATAGACATGTCAATGTTGTTAATATTGTATCATATTGCACATCAAAAGACATGTCAATGTTGATAATATTTTATCATATTGTACATCAATAGACATGTCAATGTTGATAATATTGTATCATATTGTACATCAATAGACATGTCAATGTTGATAATATTGCATCATTTTGTACATCAATAGACTGAAAATGGAAATGAAGAAAAGGATGATAGCGATAATTTTAAATCAGAAGAAATCAGCAAAAAGGAGGAGAAAACTGACATCAATCCTTTACCAAATGGTGAAATCCATCATGGCGACGATAAAGTTGAAGATGTGAACGGTAAGGAAGCATTTCTACTTGTTTTTGGAAATTTGAACCTCCCCCCTGAAATTGTCTGAGAAGATAATCAACCACCCTGTGCAAAAAAAACTTGTATACGTGTTTCTTTTGTTTTCAAAAACTGGCTTTACGACGATATTGCTGACCAATCCTTATTTTTCAATATTCTTTGATTGCTTTCATTTACAGATAGCGAAGTCTCCGTTCCTTCCACAGAGGTTAAAGATAAAGATGTTATTGATACAGTTATCATGAATGAAGAATCAATGGTTGAAGAGAATAGTGTAAAAGATGTTGTTGATGGTGTCAGTGATGTTGTGAACGATGACACAAAACAGGATTTAGTCGAAACAACAGTTGACACTAATGTCTCGCAGTCTGTTGGTAAAGAACAGCATTTAAATGACTCAGACGAGTTGAACAATGCTGCTGTAGATGACTTGCCTTCTAAGACTTCTTCAAATGACAATACAAAAGACAATATAGGTGAAGAAAGTGAAGAATCAGCGAAGATTGCCAAAGAAAAACATCTCGATGGAAGTTCAAATGTTAATGACGATTCCGTTAATGGCGATTCCCCAAGTATGACCCAGGTACAAGATGTTAGTGATCCATCTGAATCCAAAGTAATCCCACCAAATAGCGTTGATGTTGATTCAGAAGCAAAGACAAATGACTCTACAACTAGCGAAGTTTCAGAGCCCAAGGAGGATGATGGGAATGAAACTGCACGAAGTTCCGTCTCCGAGTCTCAGTCTGATATGCCCAGCGAGACGTCAAGTGAAGGCAAGCCACCTCAACAAAGATTTTCTCATATCACACAGAAGGATGCATTCTTAGTGTTTAGGTCATTGTGTAAACTATCGATGAAACCGCTTGCGGAAGGACCGTTGGATCCTAAGTAAGTTAGCTACAGTTTTTTGAGATGTATGTTGATAATGTGTAAAACTCTCATTGATCATAAGTCACTTCAAAAAAGTGGTTTGTGCTAATTTATATTGTACTATCAGTTCATTTCATCATGAATATCTTTACTACAGAAACTTCGACTTATTTTTAATACTAAGATACATGTATCAAACTGTTTGTTTATATCTTCTTGATCCATTATTACTACAGAAGGAAACCTAAATTAAACAAACTTTATTTATACTCTAGATATCTCTAACTAAGATCATAACTGTTCTTAAAGATCATGCAGTAAAGGTCATCTCTTATTGATATAACTTTATGTACTACATGAACAAATTGAACTCAACTAAATTGACCTGACATATACAAGATAGCTCTATCAGTACTTTTTTAAACTATGATTTTAGCATTAGCTTTAGCATTAGCACTCACCAATCTTTCAATCCATTCGTTACAATCATCTATTGAATGCCTAGCGTTTGTACCTCAATTCATCTTACGTGTACACCTGTACATTTCGTCTATCCAATCTCGTTCATCTGCACATTTATCCATTTACTAACAATAATATAACGCGTGAAATGATTGCTCTGTAGCTGTGTTTGCATTAGCCTGTACAAACGTGCGTATCTGAGCTACATCAATTATATCAATCAAAGATAATTTGCAACTGAATCATGAATACATGTTAGAGAAAAATTTTTAAACTTTTTTCTTGAAGTTGTCTGTTTCGCATTACTATTATTTACAAAAGAACTAAAAGATGTTTTTTTGTGTTTGTACTGGCTTATGCAAACCTTGAGACTTTTGTGAGAACTCTCTTACTGGTGCAAACCGTCAACTTTCGGTGTAAAGCTTGCACTGACATTGTCTCCAGTTCTACCAAATGTCTCCTCCGTTTGCTTAACCCTGTACAACAATTAAGCATCTTTTATTTCCAAATCCCATCCTATATTCAGTCTTCACAATATTCACAATTTTCTCGTTCGAATTTTCTTCGTGGGTGTGCAAGAGGTGAGGTGTAACCTTTCCCTTACTAATTATCAATATACCAAACAATCAAATTTTTGATTTTATCTTCCTGTCATCCATTAATATCCATTCATATTAGCCATTAATGTCCATTTGTGTCCTTTATTGCAGACGCACAGACGGTCGTTGATATATATTTAAATTACGACTGTGAATTGGCTTTGTCGAATATCTTTCAAAGATTGATCAATGATTTGTCTAAAGTTGCCCAAGGACGTCAAGCTATTGAATTAGGAGCGACACCAGTAAGTTCATGAATATGTTTCATAATGTTTACTTCTGTACATTCTCTTGTTCATATCTATGCCACTCGAAAAGGACTGGAACGTAGTCTATTATTATGAAAAGGACTGGGACATAGTCTATCAACATGAAAAAACTGGAGCATAGTCTATCAATATGAAAAGGACTAGAACATGTCTCTAATATTTTGTGCTGACAATGTTGATTATAATACATCTTTTATCACGTTTTATATGAATAGTATCAATGTCGTCTTATTTTTATATGTTTTTCCAGGTTCAAGAACGCAGTATTCGTATCAAAGGTCTGGAATGTCTCGTTTCTATTCTTAAATGTATGGTAGAATGGAGCAGGGATCTTTACTTTAAACCTGATTCTCAGGTGGACGATAATTTTGGTGAGTTTTAACATCTTTATGAAACTGAAGAAACTCGCATGTAGCGAATATAAACTTAATATTGTTCTACATTTCGATAAGTTATCGCTTTATGATCCCTTGTACGCCTCTTTTGATATCGGCTACACTGACGATTTTTGTCTCCATCAAGATTCCATCTTTCTATACTCTGTATCCCCTATTTATCGAAGGTACTCCATTCATTTCTTATACACACGTTAATGTTCTTAATCGTAACTAGTTGTTCGACAATTGTAGTTAACCTCTCAGGATCTAAGTTATCCCTTAGTTATCTTACTTACCCTTGGTGGTCTCGCGGTGGATCAAGGCTATACCTTGATGTTTATAGTTACTCATTATTGACCCATGCTGCCCTCAATGTTTTAGTCTATCTCTCAATAATCTATACTATCTTCCCGATGATCTATGCTAACCTCTTAATGATCCACGCGATCCCTTATTGATCTCCAAATCATCATAGTTATTCCTCAATACTTCTGTTTAATCTCTTCCATATAAATTTCCTGACAGATCTGGTTGATGGTGCACCAACAATTTCTCGAAAAGGAAGCACCGAGGAGAATGAAAACGGAGGGGAACCCGGTGATTTACAATCTCAAAAAACGGGGGGTAGTCAGTCGTCTCTTAATAGTACAAAAGCCATCGATAATGCTGAAGAATTTGAAAGTCTTAAACAGAAGAAGGAGACGAAAGAAAAGGGAATTCAATTGTAAGTTTGGTCAACAATTTTGCTTCTCTTCTGTATTTTTATTCAATTTTACGATTTACTTTAAGATTTAACAAGAATCCATCAAAAGGTATAAAATTCCTTCAATCTGAAGGTCTCCTTGGTGAGACAGCAACGGAAGTCGCTCAGTTCTTACACACTGATGATACACTAGACAAGGTGATGATCATTTTAGTCCATTTATATCCCATGCAATCCTTTTGTTTATGATACATTAGACAAGGCGATGATCATTTTACTCCATTTACATCCCTTGCAATCGTTTAGTTTATGATACACTAGACAAAATGATGATAGTTTTAGACCATCTATATCCCTTGCAATCCTTATGTTTCATTTCACATGATGTTGTCTTCTTTCACTAAAGTTTTCATTTTGTCACATTTGCACGCTATCTTTGAGGAATTTGTAGAAACATTTAATGTTGCTTTGGATTTTGACCCAGTGTTGCGTTTTATTGTTTTAGACTATGATTGGTGAGCTGATTGGTGATCCAGGACAGTAAGTATGTTTTTACACATCTCCCTCGCGTGACAATCACGTGAAAATCACGTTTAGACGTTTGATTCTCATCTTAAGTATTTATTTCAACATTAATTGAGTGAAGAAAAGTTGATTATGTTAATTTGCCATGAAGCCCATGGATGGTTTGCTCATGATACATGAAATAGTAAATCAGAAAATTTAATCGTAAAATCAAGAATGTTTAAAATATGTTTAAGATTGTATTAAACTACATGTAAAAGGACAAAACCTGTTTGAAACTAAGCATTATCTTCAAATCTCTTGGTTATTTTGTCCATAAAAAGCAAAACAATTTTTAAATGCTCAAAATTTCTCTATCCAGTGGATAATATTGACAGAATTCAGTAAGATTTGCTACTGTTCAAAATAATCAAACAATAGTAGACTTTGATCTATTATTCGTCATGTCCTCAACTGTTCTTCATATCCTCAACTGTTCCTCGTGTCTTCCTATACTTTTTAGATATGAACGGGAGATAATGTACGCCTATATAGATCAGTTGGATTTCACTGGTACCAATCTTGTGCAAGCTCTGCGATTGTTCTTACATAACTTCCGGCTTCCCGGTGAAGCGCAAAAGATCGATCGACTCATGGAGAAGTTTGCGAGTAGGTTCTGTGAAACGAACCCAAAGTAAGGACATGATTTGTGTCTTGTTATCTGTTGTTTTACATCTCGCATTGAATGCTGGTCCGTTCATTTTATATTTATCATTTGTATTTTAGTGACGTGTTTGCTAGTGCAGATGCTGCCTACGTTCTGGCTTATTCTATCATCATGTTGACTACTGATCTACATAGTTCACAGGTTACACAGACTTACTTTATTTGCAATGGTTTTCTATAAAAGTGACTTTATGTCTAAGATCACGTGACTCCATTGTGGTCACGCGAGATTTTCATGGCGTTGATATGGAGCCTTCATTGGAATCACGTGAAAATTTAGCCTTTAGATGCGACATCGTAATCACGTGAAATTCTCTTTCAGGTTAAACGGAAGATAACGAAAGAGCAGTACATTCAAATGAATCGTGGTATAAATGACAGTAAAGATCTTCCATCTGAATATCTTGAAGCAATTTATGATGATATTGCACAGAATGAAATCAAGATGAAACATACACCAAAAGTGAACAGTAGATACGATGCTACATGTATGTATTGGAACATTAATACGAGAATCAAGGCTTAACTGAAAAAATTGTACAGATGCTAGATAAAGTTCTTGACTGCGAAGTGTTGAGTCCTAGCTCTGAGATGAAGGTGAAGGTCTTGAGATGGAGGTGTTGGTCTTGAGATGGGTGTAAGAAAGGGGCTTATAATGGATATTGTGATGTTCAGTGTTGGTCTTAAGAGAGCTTCAATGCATTTCATGAAAGTAAAGAGATTTTTTATTGTGCTTCCACTTTACAGATTTACAAAGTGAGAAACATCGTCGTATGTTGTATTCTATGGAAATGGAGCAGATGGCGGAAAACGCCAAAGCACAAATGGAAGACGTGAGTCATATTCAGACGGATTTTGTATCGGCGACACAGATTAGTCACGTGAAGACAATAATTAAGGTACGGGGGGCGGTGGAGTCTGAAGGTTAATGCTTGTGGTGTATGTAAGGATTGATTAACGAAGCGTTAATTGTGATGTCAACTTATACGGACAATGCCAAGTACGGGGGAGTAGATTTTAAAACATGATGACATTCATCTTAATCTTGTTAAAGAAAAGACTTAGATTTTATGTAATGAATGTTTGCGATTACGAAGAGTAAATCTGTTTGATAATCTAATATTTTAGCTGACCAATGAATGATTTGACTGGATTTTCTATTGAGATAATCCACTACTTAAGCTAAATCTGCTTCTTACAACCGGCCCCAGTCCCCATTGTTGACCATTTTGTTTTTTGTGTTTAAGGTTGCATGGAGTCCGTTTCTTGCCGCGTTCAGCGTCAATCTACAAGACAACGACGATCCTTCTGTTGCTTCATTTTGTCTTGATGGAATCCGCTGTGCAATACGAATATCTTGCA